AGAAATATATATGCTTTAAATAACTAGGCCTTCGTATTTGTTGTGATTTCGTCTTGCGGCTTGAGACGTAATGTGATCATAAAGGCGTGAAGAGGTTATTTGAACCAAAGAAAGAGGAAGGAACCGGGAGACAGAGAAAACTGCATAATGAGGAGTTTTATAATTTCTGTTTTTACCCAATATCCTCAGCATGGGATGAGCCAGGTGTGTAGCATGCATGTAGAAGTGCGACTTATACGATATTTCTATTGGAAAACCTCAAGGGAAGATAAAACTTGTTACACCCAATCGCGGACGGAAGGATAATATTAAAATGGATTTGAATTAGGATATTGTCAAGGCGTGGACTAAATTGAACAGGGCATGTTATAGGGTTCCGTTGTGATATTTTGAATTCAGTGTTACGAACCGTATGTAAAAACAAATAATTTCTTGACGTGCTGAGTACTTGTCATCTAATAAAGAGGTTTGGGAATGCTTTAGTATTCTGTACCGTCGTATGGCCCAGACAGAGCTCTGATGGTTAGTCGCCTGTCATCGTCGAAGCCCGTTTTCGCGCCCAGGTCAGCCCATGTGGGATTTGTGGTGGACAGAGTGGCACTGTGGCAGGTTTTTCCTCAAGTTCTTCGATTTTTCCCTGTCATATCATTCTATCGCTGCTCCATACTCGCTCATAGATCATCTCGGGGAGGGGTGGACAAAGAGTCCCGTTAGAGGTCCGGTTCAACAGAGACCTAGTTTTACCGCATCTCAGCAGCAGTCTTTATTTTTGTATTCCAACACTGAATGAAATATGACGTAGAATATTTTATTAATTTTTGTGTTGGTAATTAGTGCTCAGCATAGAACAGAATTGCCATGGATCGTTTTATATTGCAGAAGGGGTGCATTATTAGAAATAATTTTATTATCCAGCTTTTGACATGACACTTTTGCTTCTTAGATTTTAGTACGTAAGTGTTGAAGTAATGTGTTAAAGCGTTGGCTTACCATGAGTGTAAAGGAACCCCTTAGGATGGTCGTTAATGACTGAAATAAGTTGGGTTAATTGTTATCAACAATCTGAAAATAATGTTGAATCTGCTGGTCCATTCAGTGTTGAAATGTACTATAAATTGTGACTGACTGCATCTTATAGTTGGTGATTTTATTGTGGAATGCGTATCCTTTTTAATTTTCTTATGAAGTGAATTACTTTCTACTTCTTCAAGTTGAGATGTAAAACAACTGAGCTCTATATTGCTGCTGAATAGATTAAAACGGAAAACTTTTTGTAATATGCCAATTCTTCCTTCCAATATCTGCTCTTAATCAAATTGAAGGTTTTTGTAACACGAAAAAAGCATCACTTTCCTTACATTCTTTTCATTTTCGTCGTGGGAAGAGGCAGCTCTTATAAGCCCCGTTCTGTCACCTTCAGTTAACTGAATCCATAATCTTTTTTATTCCGTCTCCCGAGTTGTTCTTTATCTTTAAGAGGATCAGGCCTCGTCGATCAATGAAGTTGGCTGTTGGAATTGAATTAATTTAGATATACAGAATTTTATACATGGTCTAAAAAGTAATTACGATACTTGCGTCTTGCAGCGGTAAATGGTATGAAGAAATCTAATCGTTACATTTCCGAGCAATCAGAGACGCCAATCCACGCATTTCATACCATTGGGTTATGTCACACTTGATATTTGTGAATGTGTTTGTAATCAAAATACTGGAGATGGTAAATTTTAAACGTAAACTTCCGTTTGTTCATAATTTTAACTTATTCCTTTACTCCATGACGCCATGTCAGTGCCTGAGGTTATGTAGTATCGATTAAGAAAGTGCAACTTTATTGTGATGAATATGAATTGGTATCGAATGGTGATCATAGGTTGTTGTAAGGTATTATCAAAGCATTCACCTGGACTTGGGGAAAATAATGTGTGTACGATTGACGATAGCCGGTTCTTTGCCGGGATCCAAACTGGGTCCCTCCCAAACGAGGTACTGAAGCGTTATCACTGTGACATTGTGTTAAGTCCTTTGTCTCAGCACCGTATTGAAGGCGTTTGACGGAAGTTAAGGTATTGGTTCGCATATTGATGATCTCTGTACCAGGTGGAAGTGAGTGGTCTGCTTCGGCCGCTTTGCCCCTCCCCCCAAACATTCCTCTGTATGATTTAGGTAGGTGACGTACCAAATAAGTGCTTTGTTTCTCACTCTAAATGTATAACAGAGATTCAGGGTGTTTTTAAACCGGACGCTGAGAATCCTTGTTTCTAAGATAGCGGAAATAAGAAAGGATAGTTTCATAATTCCTAATGTTCGTATCATTTTATTAGCGTGATTAAATCAAAGATGAGCAAGCGGGACATGGGCAACATGAGGAAAGGAAGAAGCCCCATGGGAGATGTAGGCATAGATGAGGGGATAATATTAAAAATGGATCGTAATAAGTACGGTGTGAGGTTGTGGATTAAATTGAAACAAGTTACGATTAGGTGGTGGGCATCTGTGCGCACGGTAATGAACTTGTGGATTTCAATTAGAGAGGGAAAATTATTGAATTTTCGCACAGTGCAGTGGGTTTCGTTACTAAAGCGTGGCTAATGCTGGTAGATGTTGCATCCTTTTTGAAGGCGTTTTCTGAACTGCTCCAAGGCCCTTGTTTCGGATAAAATGTTCATGATCTTGAACAGAAAGATATAGTTTATTGGATATTTAGTAAGAACATGCCAATTTTTCCTTTGGACTTTACCGTAAACTTATCTGACATTTTAAAGCACATTCGGTAACTCTGTATTTGTACGATTTGAGATTCTATCGGCGTCGATTGTTTAAATGGCTGTCGTCTGGATTGTAGCGACATTTAATCTGGTAAAAGTTTACCGACATTTCAGAGGTACTTCCTGCCTCTATTATCATAACAGTGATGTAGGTAGCAATAACCCTCGAAACGTCGGTAAACTTTTACCAGATTAAATGGCGCTGCAATCCATAAGACAGCCATCTTCAACTCAGTGTTTTTTTCACAAAGTGTTTTCATGTGATTCTCAGAATAAACAGCGATTATTTTCCAAAACTGAATTCACCAATTGATCTCTGTAATGTATTAGTGATGTCTTTTTTTGTGGTAGGAACTGGATGTTCTTATTAATTAGATTATCTTCGTGCTTCAAGGGATTAGTGTTTTCTATGTTGCATGTGTTATACTGCGTCAAAAATGAGCATTATATATAAATGATGACGTGGGGGGAAGGGTTGCGGATGGTTTAGTTAAGATACCAGACCACAAAGCGGGGTTGATAACTGCCCCACCGCTGTGTTCGGCTGCCTAATTCTGTGATTAAACAAGCGTAGTTGTGTCTGTGCTAGTAGGCTAATGAAACCAAAGGTCTCTTCGTTGGTTACTCCAAAATGACTGTCTCATGTTGCGGTTGTCTTATGTTCCTAAAGTACATTAGACATTTTCTGAGTTTTCTGGAAAATAGTGGAAAATTCTTTTCAGTTATGTAAAAATAATATTTGTTTAGTCCTTGTCCTTAGGTTTTTGTGACTGTAGTTCATTGTGAAACGTAGGTTTTGGGTATGAGACGCGTCGAATGTTGAAAGCTATCCAACGTTTCGGCAAACATTGCAGTTTCCATCTTCAGGGTGAATATGTTGGTTTGATGTTTGTTTTTGAAGTCATAAGTAGGGCAAATACTAGGTGACATTAACCTTCTCGATTTCCGATAACCTTATGCAGCGTTCATAAATCAAGAAGTCCCGAGGTGTGTAGGCCCTAATATCCTAATACCCAGTGCACTGCATCGCGTTTAGGTGTCAATGTGTTTAGTTTTCAAAGGCTTGTAGATTAAAGTTATGAATTTGTTGAAGTAGCAGACAGATATGGACTAATTCCTTGCAGTAACTTTTTTAAAGGTCTGAAATGTGCTGTTACATGTAAATTTGTAGTGTACGATTCTGTGTGTAGCGCCTAGTTTCCTCGGATGTCTGTAACTCAACAACCGAATTTGGAAACGTGTTGTGTATCGATCTAAAGGGAATTAACCCGTTTCGTTTGCTGTTTGTTTGAACGGAATGGCTTTGTGATCACCTTTTTTATCTGCTGTTTGGGAATTCGTTTCCTCGTTTCCCTCTGGAGATAAACATATATGAAATCCGATAAAATGTTTAAACCATGATTTTTTTATTTTTAAGTGTTCTACGGAGGCTGTGATCTGGTTGTGATTCCAGAGATTCTTTTCAGTACAATGTATTATTCACCCCATGCGCAGACTATGGAGCGTTCAGTTGCATACGTTTCTCATTTTACTTAATGTGGTCTGGTGTTATATACTTCGCAGTCCGCAAAGCGATAGATTTATACCATCTACCATAATTCTTTCGGAGTTACGTAAAATCTAAGAACATTTACACCAATCGCATTCAGACTTTTTCTTTAGTGTGAGCGAAAAAATGTCTTAGGGCACCTCATTTCCATCAGTGTGACGCGTGTTTCAGCCGAAAAGTCGTGCTGCTATCTAACAGTGGCCATATGGAGTACTCGTGTTGCCATCTGTCAGTGGTCTTGTGACCAGTTAAAAATATATTATCTTATATTTAAGCTACGAACCCAAAGGGTCGTCAGCAGTGTTGTACGCCAGTATGGTCATTTTGCCTTAGGTTACCCAAATTAAATATATATCATGCTTGTCTAATTTTCTTTATTTTAGTTGAGGATTTATCTTAAACTTTCATAACAAGATCGATGATTGCATGTCGTGAAGACCAGCTCATAATGTTTATTTCGTTCTTTGTGCGCCTCTTTATTTGTTTTTTCTGTTTCTCTGTATTTTTTTTTTCCTTTTTTCTTTCTACCACTTCTAGTTGTCGGTGTAGACGTTTGTATTTAATGAAACCTTGTATTTTGAAGTGTTGCTTTGGCCTATCGCACGGTCTCTACCTACCCACGCCCCAAACAAGGTGAGCCCTGAGTTTCCATCCGTTTGTTACCTATTGATTGTGCTTTTCAGGACGACCACCGCGCATTCCGGCGTCAGCTGGAAGACAAGCGACCCGTCATCGAGAACAACCTGCTGAGCGGACGTCAGTACATCGCCAACGAGCCACCGCTCTCTGACACCAGCGACAGCGAAGGTGGGCCATAGCTCCTCTTACCTAATTCATAGTTACATCGGAAGCGAATTCATGCGATTACTGGTCGCTCCAGTTTCCTCCTACGTATTCGTACGGCCAGGATGTTCGCACTGCGTGAAGGCTGCAAGTAATGGTTGAGTGGGATTTCTGGGGGATACTGCTATTAAATTGTTGCTTCTCCAAGAAGATAAGGAATTCTTGGTTCATGAATTGTTTATGAAGAGAGAAACTTTTTCCGCATTCAATGAAAGAACCCTAAATTTTTTTCGCATATTTCCGAGTGAGCTATGGGACTTTAGTTATATTTTAGAAAAGAGTACTTTGGACTTACAAAATCACATAATGTGTTTAATTTAAATAAAAATATTTTGAATAATGTATTGGGGTAGCGGTTTGTTTGTTTGTTTTTTTTTTGTTTTTTTTTTGTGGTCCCAGTTACTCCTTTGTTCAAAACATTGAATCAAACTATCGTAAACCGTATTTCATAGAGACGGTTGCAGGGTTTTGAAAGATATATTTGGTCGTGCGGGATTTTTCATAACTCGCCTGCAAGCAATGTGGCCATTCCCATTAAGTTTCATGCGTTTGTTTTATTTGCATTAAACTATACGAATTTGACCAGAAGTCGCTTGAATGCGCACTCATTATGACCTTAGAGAATAGTTTACCTGTGTGTCGTTTTTACGACTCCACTTCTAGTCATTGCTACTTTGCAAAGTGCCTGTTTGATGACTTGGAATATTATGCATTCTTTGCTTCAAGGACAAATGAACGCGTAATACGGAAGTCGTCAGGTTGGAAATGCTGCTCAGGTGGGGGAGACTTTAAATGCACACAGTATATGCGTGGGGAAACCATTTCCAAAGCGACAAACCAGAAGTGAGAAAACTGAGAGTTTGGATGACATTAAATTGATTCATGTAAAAATAGGTTTTGATAATATGAGACTGGTGAAACTTACTGAGGAATATGTCCACTGTTTTACTCGTGCTTTCGGAGACATGGCGGGGCAACTTCTTGACCACAACGGGGCGCCTCCGCGTTTTGGTCTTCAGATTAAGGTGGAACTTGAATCAGATTTACGAAAATCGTTGAAATGGTCGTCGAGGGCCAGTACCTTGATCGCCAAGGACCTGACTCCGTTTTATTTTTTGTGGCGTCTAATAAATGAGACGACCTACAGGACCGACATACGCAATGCCGTGAGTTGGTTTATTGGCACTGCTGCTGTGTGTAAGAAGCACCCCGAAATAATTCATCAGGCAGTAAACTGTTGTTCGGAATGAGAAGGGCTGTGCATTGGAAACCTTGTCGGACATTTTAAACAGTGAGATGCATCTCATAAAATGTACCAATATTTTTTTCTGATTAATACTAATTTATTTTTCCCTTCGCACATCTTGAAATCGCCAGAGTTTTGCTGTAGCGGAAAATAGGACCGATGTTTTAGGCCTGTCAACATATTTTACTCGAAATTACCATCCGATGTTTGGCAGACCGGTTGTGAAACACCTTGTACCCTTTTTTTGCGCTGTAATGGTTGTCAGCTCTGAAGTTTCGCGATCCACGCGTAACGTCTTCAATCAATCAACTCTGCAAATCTGATAATTTTATCCAACAGTCTGACCAGATATTCAGCCTTGAGCTGACATTCCAGAATGTATCATTGATCACACAGACCAGTAAATCTTGGTCTCCAGTTCCCATGGGAAAGTTCCATCTTCCGCTGACTGCTGTTCGCCGCTACATATGATGTTGTATACGCCATTGGAGCAGTGTTTCTTGAATCAAGCTCTCCGCCACAACCATGGACCTGATAGTTCAGTTAGGACTGTGGTAGTACGCATGAGTCTATCCAAACTTAACTTCTGCTAGGAGTGTTTAAATTCTTCGGATAGGAATGGAGAACTTGGTACCATGATACAACAGATATTACGTGGTAGAAGAAAATTTTTTATTTGATTCGACGATGTGTGTATTGGAGTCATAGCTGCCCCTTCGTGTTTTTGAGAGCATCGGTACTCTTTTTTTGAGTACAGTGGTGCCAAAAACAGGCATCGTGTCCTAATAATAATTGTGTCCGTTAGTATAAAACACGAGGTACTGATTGTTGACCTCCAGAAATATAAGAATAAATTATGTATTACAAGTCATAAAGAACTTGGTTTTATTTTTAATTTCCGACCTCTGTTTAAGGCGGAATTGTCAACTAAGTAACACGGAGGACATGCATTGTATCATGATACATGCTTGTTTCTGTCAGTCTGGAATCATCTTGAGTCTTGTTTTTAGGATGACATCCCAGCTTGTCAACATTTCTATCCGTTGGTATTACTAGGATGCTTTGTCTATTCGGATATGTGTAGGTCCCACTTAAGAAAGACTGGCAGAGTACAGGAAGTTGCAAGTAGGTAACAAAATCAACATCAGACATGGATATAGGTGTACGTGATCAAGAATACCAAATGTATTCGAAGACGGCTGATGATGAGTTGAAATTACGTCTTCATCATACGGGTAGAATAGGATATAAAACAAGAATTCCAGGGAGATCTCATAAAATCTGCGTTCATATTGCAGACTTTCAGTTCTACAAATCTTGTGTCATAAATGCTGTATTTACACAGTGAAAGTAGAACAAAATATAATGTCGTTATTGTATTGGTGGTATGAGCTTCGGAGATGATGGTAAAAGTACGGTTAACTTTCAAAACGACCTGTATATAAAATAAGCTTATACCTTTAATAGTGGACAGTTTACAACATATTGGTTTAATAAATCAGACATTGTCACAAACCAATAGAATCATTGGTCATCATCCCGATATTTACAGTTGTCTCAGTGCCGAAATAGATCAAAAAGGAATAAAATTTTACTGCGCTGTGCACTGGCGTGTGATGTCTCGACTTGTCGGCGGATACCAGCTAAGATTGTGGTGGACGGTCTGGAGGTCCGGACTGCTTCAATTCCCTGGACAAATCGCTTCCTTCTCGTTCCACTGTGACAAGTGGACTGGCGTCACGAAATATCCGCATCACTCTTCCGCTAAACGTAGCTATTCTGAACGTAGGCAAAAATTCGAGATAATTCGTTTGAGGGGAAATTTCACGAAATCTTTAGCTTTGTCGGAGAACTGAAAGCAGAATTTCTGTGTCACCACTCATCAGTCTCGTTTTGACGTCCAATCGCAAATCAGATCTTATTTCTGAAAAGGCAAATATTTGATTCAAAGTTCAGTCATTTGCAACTTCATTTTATTATCCCCAATGTAAATTAACTTTCACTGAATTTGAAATTTAGAAACGATAGCAATCAAATACGTTTATCAATAAAACAAAAATTGCTGTGGAAATCTTCATATTTAGTGGCCTCTGTCGTCAGATTTAAACCCCAGTATTTCAACAATGAGTCATACAATGAACAGTTCCAAAGTTTGAACTGAAAGCGATGTAGCAGACTCTGTTGACATGCAGAGAAATTACAAAGATACAACATTTCGTAAATAATCTTCAGATATGCCAATATTAGGCCGTCAGGGTAGTGCTTATTGGTGTGGATGACTGCAATGCGCTGAGAATATAACAGTCGAAGATATTCAGAAGTTTGAGTTGGACGCTGGGCAGTTTCAAAGCCAACTAAATCATGGGATTTGTATTTAAGCTTGCCTCTTGGATATCAAACTAATACTCAGCCATATAATGGTGGCTTATCTACCATAACTTCATCGTTGCACAAATTATAGCTTTATTGGGGCTTTGAACGCAAGGAAATTAAACTAAAAGTTTCCGCTTTGCTGTTGGACTTGCTCAGTACCTTCTTTCCAGTCTCTTTTCGTTTCATGATGGCGGCGCAATATAATTCCGGTCACAGACATTCTGGAGATACCAAGACCATGAACACACTATTTTTGATTTTGAGGAATAATTATATTTCTTTCTTGTCTGACATTTCGTCCCATTTTGATCGTTATAATTGTTATGTAAATTTTTCAATTAATTATTTCATTTTTATTTTTAATTCTACGTAACACGATGTTTATATTTGTTCTTTTTACGATATTTTTAATATATAAGAACCGTTGTCGGAAAGTTAATCCGTGGCTCCTATCGATACACTAAAACTCCACTTTACATGATTCTTAACTTGAATTTAACAAAACTGGCAAAAAATGCTTACCTTAGAAATGAATTGTAATGGTTTTAGTATAAATCTAGTAAAGTTTCATGTCTTATATTTGTATTTTTCCGGTACAATTGGCATTAGTGAGATTCACAAAAATAAAAAAAAAAGAATTAGGCTGTTTTCTGGGATGTTGCACCGTGTAGTCTGGTAGATATCGACAAATATTTTGGAGGGGCTCACCGCCTCCAACCTTTATTCCTGTTTTTGGAGCAGATATCATTCGATTCTATTTACGAGTATTTCGCGTATTTGTGATGATTTACTTTGCCCCGTTTTAACAATTAGCCTGAAGTCTGTCTTAGGAATCCAAAATGAATATAATTCCCTACTGATGAGAAATTGAATCTGTGGCCCAAAACTTTGAAGTGAGCTACACAGGATTGTTTGAGAGTTTGAAGTTAGATAAGTAGATATGATAACTGAAGAAGACGTTTAGTTTCGGTGTTTTCTTAATAATTTTGACTTCCTCGTTGTTCTTGGCAGAGGAATTGATTTCTATAGTGACGGCCGACAAATTTCGACATGTGTGTATGTTCTCATTTGTATGTTTAAACTCTTTACGGCAATTTCGAATTCCATCTCGTTCGTTTTGCGTTTCTAATACACTTACAGCTTGAGAACAATAGACATTAATATGCAGAATACTTTAAAATCCGTGAACTGTAGAAAATATTAATGTTTCGACTATATGTGTAAAAGTGAGTAGAAATATGGGATAGTACCCTCGTCAGAACAGTAAATTTTACGTCGGAAATAAAAATAAAATTTACCGTATATGTTTATTTTATTTATCTTCTTCAAGTGGATTGAGACCTTTCTTCAATGTATTAACCACAGGATTTGTTTTTCAGAAATATTTTCGCGAAAAATGTATCTTGCAAACTTTAAGCCAGCGATGAAAAATGTAAATACGAGAATGGCTAAGAGTATACGTTCTAGAAATGGCTTGGTGTTTGAAACTTTGTGGAAATGTGAACATGATTTTCTTTTGGTGTTCATTAAGCTCTGAAACTAGCAAGCTGAAAATTTTTAAAATATTAGTATCAGAGCACATGTTTGCGAGGTAAACATGGATGAAATTTTAAAAAAAAGCAAACAGAAAGAACGCAAAGAAATAGATAAATAACTATTCCATAAACCCAATGACAAAACAACTAGATGTCGTCCTAGAAAAGAATGGGACCCAGTTCTTTATGAGAATTGATGAAACGGGCATTATAAAATTAAAATCCAAGAGCAAAGAGTTTTAAACCCCTTTGGATTGCACGTACAACTTATTGAACTCTGATGTTCTGTTGTCTGCTGTCGCTTGTGATCGCGGTAACGAACCGGTTGTAATCGACTGCCTTCGTTGATGGCTTGCCTCCGTTTTCCATTTCTAGATACCATAGACAATGTATTGAGGAACGTTGAACAGCTGGTGGAAACAAGAGAAGCTCGTATTACAAATGAGTGTAAACCAGTCAAGTAAATGGGTTACCTTATTCCGGAGAAGCCAGAAAACCTATACTTTTGTAATGCGTAAGGCAGCGGACTATGTATCAAGTACTCCGAAGGAATAAAGGTCTCTCTTCGTAGCCCTGTTGTCATGATGATGGAGGCAGCAAGGACCTCTGAAACGTCGGTAAACTTCTACCAGAATACACGGCGCAACAAACCAGAAGACAGCCATCTTAAGAAGTATTTTGGCTTTAATAGCGAGTGATGTATGTTAAATTGGTGTAGTCAAAAAATTAGATACAGGTCTCAAGAAATATTTTTTTCCTGTAGTCAGTGCGGCATAACAGAAACCGGTGGCAACTATAAATTACTTGCGTGAAACATACTGTGACGTTTTGTTGAAGTGGATTCAGTTACGTCGTGACTCTGGAGCTTTGTTGAGGGTAGTCTTAACATGTAAAAGGTGTAGTACCACTTTGACGCATAAAATGCGAAACGTCACAAGTCATGAAACAGTTAACACAGACTTTCAGTCATCACTGCTGTATTTCGCTTCTTGCGAGTTGCTTCTGTACGTCTTTGCGGATATGGATTGCCCAGACTGACTCGGCGAATGTGAAGATGGCTGTCGTCTGGGTTGTTTCGTCTCTGTTCTTTTGTCTGGTGCAAGTTAGCCGACGTTTCAATGGTGCTTCCAGCGGTGAACGCCTACCATACTGTATGATGTAACAACCCAGAATACAGCCATATTAAGCCCACTATTTTTTTTACTGATATCACCCAATAGAAATGCTCCAGTAGATCACAATTAGTATCGGACTTTTGTTTCCTTATTCGGTGTTTAACGGCTCCATATCAACTTCTAAGTTATTTTGTATCGGTTTAGATATTGTGTGAGTGGCATTTGTTGCTTGTTTGAAGGAACAGGGTGAATGAGAAATTCACAACTAAAACCCAAGGTTCAAAATATATGCAAGTGAGACGCTTTTCTGCTCGAGGCCAGCACACTCGACCTGTCTCTTCCCATACATCAATTCCATCTAAGGCTGTGGCAGGATTTTTTAACTTTCCCATGATTTCGCATAGTATAGAGATTATCGTCGTTTGCTTTCATTTCAGCTTTCCTTGTGCGTTTGACCTCGGATCCCTTATTCCTCAATCGGACATGCATAGCAATGTATTTCTGCCACCTGCAAGAAAACAGCAGGGACTATGCCCTGCTTTTATGGATTCTTCCATGCTTGGATTCGTACTTATTTTATTTTCATCTCTTCGCTCTGTTGTCGTATTCGGTATTTATCGTTCTTAATATGACTTGAATCTCGGAGTTGTTAGTTTAGAACAGCTTTTTGGAATCACAACGAAACGTAATGATACTAAAGATACGCATAGAAAAGTAACTTGAATTTTTGTGAATCTACAGTGAACATAATCTTATTACAAGCAGCTTTTTACCACAGTGACGTTGGAATGCTCCTGTGATCATACTGTGGTTCCCACAACTCATAAGAAATGAAGCTTGTAATTAAACATCTGATTTAGATATTGGTAAGTGCGTTTTCCCTGTCACAAAACTTTTCTTCAGACGACTAATAAATAAACGAAGAGAGAAAAGTATAAATATGTAAATTATTGTTTTATAAAACAGTGGAGGCACTAGCAATGGAAAATTCGATTTCAGTGTTAAGAAATAAAGTTTGAGACAGAATTATTTTGGCTAAACGTAAATATTAGATCACGGGTTAACGGATGTGACATATCTCATAACAATGAAAACAGTTAATATTATATACATTGTATGTCAGTGTAAAGGTAAATTTTGCACAGACATTAGTCGAGAATTTAATATAATGGTTCATTAAAAGATACGAAAGTTTCTGCTGGTCACTGTAGTCTCGAACCGCTCGAATAAGTGATCGTAGGAAAGAGTATCTACTGAAAGAGTAGCTACAAGTATGATACAGATGACGGCACCCCATCGTCTTCGTTATCATATTTCGACCTCGGTGAAATAACTGACCACGTCTTCTACATGAGATGTATACAAGATTTTGGTCGAAAAACCTGAAGGGAAACTATCGTTTCCGAGACCTAAGCGTGCTTGTGAAGATATTAAAGTTTAAATACATTTAGTTGTGATAAAGTGGGCCAGATTAAATTGGGTCATATTAGGGTCTTTGGGGTGAACACAGTAATTAGCCTTCTGCTTGTATAAATGGCGGACATTTTCGTGACCACTTAGTTGAGTGACTATTAGCTTACTTCTAAACAAGGGCTCTGTTCCATGGATTTAGACAATTTCAAGGTCAATTGAAGATTCACACATGTGTCTATTCTCAAACATGTCCGTGTTTATTTGAATATTAGGTTTTGTCAAATGGAAAATTTGATCTATGTCAGTACATTTCTTGATAATATATATATAGGCTAAGAAATTTGACTCTGGGGGATGTTGGTGTGTTACCCATAGAGAGAGAGAAAGACTATAGTGAAAAGACGGGAAGCCGGAGCAGGAGAAGAATAAATTATCGATTATTTTAAAGTAGAGAGGCGAAGGTCAGGAATGATATATGAGCACGGACTTTTTAATACGCGACGAGGTTGTAGAAACGGAGCGCTGCTCCGTATTTCCTTGTACTGCAAGGAAGTAGAATGACCAGCCGATCCACTACAGCAGTGGTATTCAATCTTTTTTGTTCGCGTACCCCCAGATATAATTTCTCTTCAACTTTGTATCCCCAAATTTTTTGGTGTATAATTCAAGTTATACATAATATATAATCTACATGTAAAATAAATTAAATAAATTACATTACTGATTATTCAGTGTTTATCAAAATATAATATATATATATATATATATATTTTAAATTTCATGTACCCCTAAGATGTCTTCGCGTACCCCAGGTTCAATACCACTGCACTACAGCACACACTGGGCCATTTCGGGGGAAATTACTAGTTTATTTTTAAAAGTGGCATTTCAACTCTGTAGGTTTGAATGTGATCAAGAATGGTGAGCACTGAAAGATTTCAAAGAAGGTAGTACTATGCCCGGAATTCGTCTGGAGATAATGAGAAAACCACAATAGTCATGCAGGAGAGGCAGTAGGCTTTAAATTGAGTATTACTTTATTGTTACAGCTTCGTAGCAAATCTAAGTAAACGGCAGGTTGGGCGAATTTGGCCGCTTCGTTGCCATGGTGATTGTGACAGATGTTGAGCAGTGGACAGTATACTAACAGGAGACTGAAAGGCCGTATAATTAAGAAAGTGGCAAGGGAACACGCTAGGCATCCTTGCCTTTATGTCGTGAATGTCTACGCGTGTTTATATAATTACTGCTTCGCCGTTTGAATATTCTCTTCCTCTGTCTTGTGTGACTGTGCTGTGTACATGTGATTTCTCCATCGTCGCATGTTAAGTCTGGACGATTTTAAACAAGCACAGAATATCAGGTGTGTTGGACGTCGTTTCAGCTCTTGTGCCATTTTGATTTGTATCGATGTTTCATTGTGGTTTTGGTTTCAGTGGGACGGGAAGTGGAGGCAGACTCCCGCGGGTACCGTAGCGCGGAGGAGCAGGCCCGCGAACTAACCCGAAGTATTCGCAGAGAGGTGAACAAACTGTCCGAAAAATGGAACGCACTCATCGACCGCTCGGACCAGTGGCAGCGGAAATTGGACGACAGTCTTACGGTGAGTCAATATCTATTCGTGACACCTGCCGATATCAGAACTCTTGAAACTGAGTACGATACTAAGCTGTTCAGATGCACTGTATATGAATGGCTTTTAATATCACATTTCGTAAAGTTCTCTCTGCCTCTGAGGAAAAACGTATGATGATCTTGGTTCGTAGCAACACTGTAAAATTGCGTTAATATGTTAATGATGATGATGATAATTATAATGCAAGGATGATTTCAAAATGATCAACAATCTGTAAATTGTTATACTGATGTTGATGAGAACAGGCAAAAGTCATCTTTCGACATTGTCTTCATGCTCTTCCATCGAGGCACTATATTGTGGGTGCCCTGAAGGAAGAAGCCACAATATGCCACCGTTTTCACTTTACCGCTGCAAGTGCACTGGTTTACCAACAAGTACGAAATACAAATGTAAATCTGTAATGTGTTATTCTCATACCTTAACGTCGTTCAGGCTTCTGCCATTGATTATATGGTGTTTCTTTCAAGATTATAGTTATTTTATAGCATCATAATAATGCATTCCTGAACATTGTTCGCCAGCTTTCGTGTTTTATAAGGAACGGTATGTGTATCATATGTTGTCCATGTGTCCAGCCATCTTTATCTTCTCAATTCACAGAACTTCTCGGGTGGGAAGGACACTGTCACCACGTAGCATCTAGTAAGGTTTTTATTTTATTTTTTAGATTGTAAAACGACAGCATTATTTCATATGTAGTTCTTGGTTTGGTTGGCTAGGTATGTGATAGTTGTGTGTCGTTATTATATAAGCATGTGCCTTTCTGAAGAATTTGTATGACCGATATTTTATATCTGCTTTATTACGCCGTCTCCTTTAAAGGAGGTTGGCGACATTATGAACAGGATCCTTCCATCCTTTTCTCGGACTGGGACCTGTTCATATACGTTCTTGGCAGATGATACAGAAGTGGTTTGCCATTGCCTTCTTCTGTGTGTGAATGGAGTAATTGTTGGGATGCCACGGAGAAACCGGGGAAGCCCCAGAGGAAAACTCCGTGTTGCCTAGACCACGGCCTTGCCCAACACAAGTTATAAATTCGGGCACCGCCGGGAATCGAACCCGGGACCTCATGTTTACACGGCCATCGTTCTAACCGCTAGACCACCGATATTTTATATAAGCCTAGGTTTATTAACTCTTGGCCGACGGTGGGAAACTTTGAGGTTACCTTGTATCTGACAAATTAATGTGGTGGGAATTTAGACGAGTGAACAGTATGTGCAGAAGTCGGTATGGATTCAGTTTTACGCTTTTGTGTTACGGTACATCAGACACAAAATTGGGAGACGAAGTGGAAACGAGATAGTCAAACGTTAAATGAAACCTTCATGTGTCGTTGTATGCGTTTAGTGAGTGAGTTTCGAACTCTTGATCCCGGAAACGGTCAACTCTGGCTTCACATGAAACCTGAGTCCACTGAAGATTACGACGAACAAACACGCATGGATCGTTCTGCCTCTTCCTGCACTGATCTGTGATCCAGCAAGTCCGTTACTATTCATCCGAGTTCGCATATTTACTGTTCTGTACCAAATTTCAGGAGCAGAAATGCTGTCTGGCGTGTGAACAAGCCTTACGTTACGTCTTTCAGATACGTGGATTGTGCTGGGTCGGCAAACGAGTTTTAGGCATTGAAGATGGCTGTCTTCTGGGTTGTTGCGCTGTGTCGTCTGGTAGAAAACCCAGAAGACAGCCATCTTCAGCCTCACCGCCGCGAAAACCTCAAATCCTACAGAGTTTTAGGCCTTATTGTCGTAATATAGGACGTAAATTCATGTTTGATTGGTTGTTGACGCGATTTAGTAATACGTTCTCGGATATTACACAGATGCGAGCTCTTAACAAACGAAGACTCGCAAGTAAAAATTATTTAAAATAACTGTAGTATGTACTCTGATTGTGGTTTACTGGTCTTGTGACGCCATGTGATCTTGTAGCCGGTTACCAGTGTTAGGAAGTATCGCCTCCATGTCCGGCGTAGAAAACTTTTGTAAAAACATGGAGGCAGTCATTTCCTCGGCGAAAGCATTAGTAAGTTCTTGTAGTCATTATCCAGAAGAATGCAATACAAATCTTCACTGCCGTGAGAACCTCGGGTTTTGTCTGTAGTCAATCCACCACCGGCAAATTCTTACGGCTGACTAAGAATTCAGATAGCAAAAATAACATAGAAGCATGAAATCCTAATTTCAGAACAGGATATTCAACTTGAACAACCGGATACAATAATGTGGAGGGAAATTGGAAGCAACCTAAACAAGCCTGGTAATATTGTTTGACATTTCACTAGTTGAATCGGGTTACTCGTAACATTTATTTCACTAGCTGAAGCCGAAGCTTATATAAATAATATATAAGAATTTAATAGGTAACGCAAAAGAAACACCACAATTCACGACTGCAAAGATTAATTTGTTAATGTTTGGTTACGGAAGTAATCCCATTTACAATGAGAATCATGCGAAACCCATAAATACAAAAAAAATGCTATTGATTGGTTAGTTCTCACTGTGCTTTAAAAATTTAAAATGGTTGGTGTCTGCAGGAAAGCGTCAGAACATTTCATGCCATTTATGCACAAAATATAGCAGTGCGTCATGCTTATTGTGTGTCGAGATATCGTCTGTTACGTCAGTTTGTTGAACAAACAGCACACGGCGTGTGCCCGGATGAAAGATATCCAGATTAGCGTTTGCCATAATGGACTACATTTTGGTAACATTGGTAATAGTGGTGTCCTAGCCGACCATATACAACTACTGTGTGGAATTTCTTGGGTGAATGATGATGAACGATGGTGAATATGGAGCTGGGACAATGTGGCCGCTGCAGTCACATCCGCGTTTCGTTATCATCCTTTTCATATATCATTGCTTTGTTTTAGTCTCCTTCTAGCCCTTACGAAGTATCGAACTCTATGGTAGGTTCCGCTCTTGAAAGACTTGGTAGTTGTATGATTTTAGGTTTTCACAGCGGTGAGTGTGAAGATTTCCGTCTTCTGGATTGTTGCGCTGTGTAGTCTGGTCGATGTTAACCAACGTTTCAGAGGTCATACTGCGTCCGTCATCAGGGCGATGAGTATGAAGATTTCTGTCTTCTGGGTTCTTGCGCTGTGTAGTCTGGTGGATGTTAACCAACGTTTCAGAGGTCATACTGCGTCCGTCATCAGGGCGATGAGTATGAAGATTTCTGTCTTCTGGGTTCTTGCGCTGTGTAGTCTGGTGGATGTTAACCAACGTTTCAGAGGTCATACTGCGTCCGTCATCAGGGCGATGAGTATGAAGATTTCTGTCTTCTGGGTTCTTGCGCTGTGTAGTCTGGTGGATGTTAACCAACGTTTCAGAGGTCATACTGCGTCCGTCATCAGGGCGATGAGTATGAAGATTTCTGTCTTCTGGGTTCTTGCGCTGTGTAGTCTGGTGGATGTTAACCAACGTTTCAGAGGTCATACTGCGTCCGTCATCAGGGCGATGAGTATGAAGATTTCTGTCTTCTGGGTTCTTGCGCTGTGTAGTCTGGTGGATGTTAACCAACGTTTCAGAGGTCATACTGCGTCCGTCATCAGGGCGATGAGTATGAAGATTTCTGTCTTCTGGGTTCTTGCGCTGTGTAGTCTGGTGGATGTTAACCAACGTTTCAGAGGTCATACTGCGTCCGTCATCAGGGCGATGAGTATGAAGATTTCTGTCTTCTGGGTTCTTGCGCTGTGTAGTCTGGTGGATGTTAACCAACGTTTCAGAGGTCATACTGCGTCCGTCATCAGGGCGATGAGTATGAAGATTTCTGTCTTCTGGGTTCTTGCGCTGTGTAGTCTGGTGGATGTTAACCAACGTTTCAGAGGTCATACTGCGTCCGTCATCAGGGCGATGAGTATGAAGATTTCTGTCTTCTGGGTTCTTGCGCTGTGTAGTCTGGTGGATGTTAACCAACGTTTCAGAGGTCATACTGCGTCCGTCATCAGGGCGATGAGTATGAAGATTTCTGTCTTCTGGGTTCTTGCGCTGTGTAGTCTGGTGGATGTTAACCAACGTTTCAGAGGTCATACTGCGTCCGTCATCAGGGCGATGAGTATGAAGATTTCTGTCTTCTGGGTTCTTGCGCTGTGTAGTCTGGTGGATGTTAACCAACGTTTCAGAGGTCATACTGCCTCCGTCATCAGGGCGATGAATCGCCCTGATGACGGAGGCAGTTCGACACACAATAAGCACGACGCACTGCTATATTTTGCACATAAATGGCATGAAATGTCCTAAAGTGTCAATATCGCTGGTACTACCTGCCATTGACATGTCACGACTCAGATTTCACATACCAAGTTTACGGTTCGTCAGGAATTGCCGTATACTATATCATAAATTTTCTGTTGTCTGTTTTCCCTGAAGCTGCATTAATTTGAATATTTTTAAGATGTTTACCATCGTATCATGTATAATTTCGCGACCATTTTTTGTTTGGTCTCACCGGTCTCTTTCCAGACTTCTTTACATGTTTCTTTAAACGGGGAATTTAAGTGTAGGGTGACTTTTTTTACCTCAATTTTCTTGATGTTGACACTGAATTTTTATTAATTTTCTTAGTGTCTGCAACATTGTTTCCGAATCGGAAAGGTCGGAAAGATAGACACATTTAGTTCTCTATTAAATTTCTATCATAACAGTTGTAGAATTCAGGGCTTCGTAAGGAAACTATATACACTAGAATCTTCTATTAGTCTCCAATTTTGCTTTTCACTGATAGTTTCTTGAAAATAATTTAAAATGTCGTAAGTTTAATTTTTGTGACCTAGACCACATCGTTCGTAGTTCTTACTGCTTATTTTAGTGTTCAGAAATACATTACGTGTTTCTGTGATGGATAATTCATTGCTATTTTGCATTTTTTATCATTTACATAGCATATTGCCTGGAGCAATGTTTTTATAACGAAGTCGAAACGTGTTTAATACGGTTTTAATACTGTAG